ATCCCAGTCCGTTTAAGTTCAGTACTCATTTCTATAAAGTCCTATCCCAGTCCGTTTAAGTTCAGTACTCATTTCTATAAAGTCCTATCCCAGTCCGTTTAAGTTCAGTACTCATTTCTATAAAGTCCTATCCCAGTCCGTTTAAGTTCAGTACTCATTTCTATAAAGTCCTATCCCAGTCCGTTATAGTTCAGTACCCAGTCCACTACAGTCTATCACTCAGTCCACTCAAATTCATTCCTCAGTCAATGAAAGTTTAGTTCTCGGTCCACTACGTAGCGTCCATATCCCACTACGTACATTTGAAACACTTGTAAATCATATCCTAGTAAATTACCTCTGACCCGAGCCATAATATATATATGTTAGATCAAAGTGGTGTTGAAGTATAGGGTACAGCAGAAATGGTGGAAATTTAATAATGCAATATTTCACTCCTGGCATGGGACTCTTCCAGTTCACCTCCGCAAATAAGATTATCCCCAACACTCGATCAATAGCAAAGCGTCTGTTTGTCAGACCAATCCTTGCGTATTTTATACATCAAATTTGAACTCCGGTTACAAAATGCAGTTTCATAGAAAAGCACCATACTGAAGAAAGCTTTTTTAATATGTATGAATAGAAACTTAATATTATTGGCGCTATTTATCGGATCCAGTATAATAATTTTGCTGCTCTTCTTATATATAATTACAATTTGTAATTGGCACCGCTTTTATGACTCGTGTTATCGCGTTTAGCACCGCGGTATCGCAAGAGGCGAGCGCTGAACCCAATCCATCAAACGCAAAATTGTGAAAACTCATTGATGGTGCTGTTCTGTTGTCAGGTTAAACGCTAATGGTCAACATATCGGGAAGTGCATTGTATCAATGAAAAAAGCGGCCCCTTTAGTTATAAAAGTTCGGACACGCAGTTTCCTCCCGATAATAGTGCTGTATATTTACAATTAAATATCGTATCGACGACTATCGTGTCAGGTGAAACGCGATTCGTGGGAACAGTGTCTCAATCCATACATTCTAAGACAATACGTCATCATGAGATCAATTTCAGACGTAAATGTATTTTATTATTATTAGTCCGTTTCTGTATAATATATATATATCATTAAGGAAACGATACAAATCGTGGTCATTCTTGCGTTTTGATCAAATAATTTGAAACCAGACGCAATGGTGTCTAAAACGGAACGTTAAGTGTTACATTATAGTAGAAAATGACTGAATGATATATTTAAAACAAATGGTACCAAACTGATATTTTCATATTTTAATTGTTGGTTTATAAACCGTGATTTTATTATAAATAATAAGCATTGATTGAAACATTGTTGGCCTAGAATGACTTCAATTGTAGCTGGGCCTAAAAACAATACCAGAAAAGAGACTGAAATTTTCAATTTGACCTTGAAGCATTGACAAATGTGATCAATGTTAGTTAGCACGTGCCTTTCATTATCTCGCAGTTAAAACTGACGACTACACAGATCAACGTACTAACACTTTAACCAAATAGCTCTGTACGATAATCAAATAGTCTAACAGATCCTCACGCGAACTAATGCTTTAAGCACTCGACAACAGGAAATGGCTTTAATTTTGTTTGGTAAAGCGTTACCATTACGCCCGGTACGTAACGAATATCAAACCAACGGCTCACTGGGAATAACAACGTTTGAAGTTAACACTTTTCAAACACATCATCTTTCAATTTAAACACCTTATGTAAATAATGGAAATCTAACTTGGAAAGTTCACTTGAGGTTCATTTCATTGTCGCTACCGCTAGCACGTGACTAGATACGACATTTCCAGGGCTAACTCATTGCACGTATGTGTAAGGTCTAAGTTTAAGTTATTTAAACTTAGATTAATAACTCTTAATTGTTGGCCCAGAGATTGGGACGCAGGGGGTCTTAATGTGGGAGGAAACAGGAGTACCCGGAGAAAACCCACGTGGTCGAGCAGGTGTCCTATACCTATATTCACGTCCGATCGGGAAATCGAACCCCGGTCGCCTTGGTGAAAGGCGAGTGCGTTATCCACTGCGCCACCCAACTACTCATTGTATTTTAGATTGTGTATACTTTGGAGTATCAGCGGTTATCTTTTAAACCCCTTTTTTCGGGTTGGTAGATAAATATTGATATATTATTAAGATTCGGGTTTTTCGCACCAGTGCATATCGTACATTTCATTTGGTGTTCTATATATAAATGTGCCTGGTCCCTGTACAAGTGTTTGTTGGAGCTAGGTGCCTGTGCAAATTTTGTGCGTCGTGTTTTGAAGCTGTATGTCCCTCCACACATGATTTGTAGGTTAGTAGGTTTATGTTCCTGTCTACATTTGTATGTCGATGTTGGCTTTATATGTCGCTGGTTGATGCTATAGCTAGAACCCCGAATGTACATGTGATATGAAAGAACATTTGCTCTATTGATATTTCTCATTACCGTAGACTATCACAATAATGATTACATACACATACAAAGGTAGGGCTTTTTGCCTCAACCTGAAAAAAAATTGTGGTTAAGATATTATTATTATTATTGTTTTAGTTTTAATTTATCTATTTTTTTCATCATGGAAAGATTGAATTCAGCAAACGCAATACCATGTTTTATAATGATAAACCATGTATAACGGAATAAAGGGTGAACTTTTCATGTACATGTACTAGTTAGTCCACAATAACTGACTATCTAGTCTATAAAGTTAATGGGGCTAGTTAGTCAGAAAGTCCTTCAAAGTACTTAATTTGATTTTGGTATTTTTGGCACGGTCGGCCTTGGTTCGAACTTCAATAACATGTAATGTTTTCTTGTACACAGGAGCATGTCCAAATTAGGATTTTTTTATAGATTGTCTGATAACAATTGACATTAATTAATGTCCTCTTGGCGTTGTGTTGGTCAAGTATTTGTTGAAGCCCCCCCCCCCCCCCCCCCCTCCCCAATGTTTAGGTGGTTGGCAGATGAAATTTGCTCAAAATGCATAGAACTATATCAACCTTGATTGGGAATGTATACCATTAATTTTATTGCATTTTGGGTACCCTCCCCCTAGAGATTAAAAAATCGGTTGTTGTGTGTGTTTTTAATGTAAAAATTAATTAAATAAGACATTTGCTTTCGCTTAACAAAACTGACTTAAGATGATTAATATCAAGTAAACAGTGCAGAAATCCATCCCCTCCCCGGAATCGTCTATTGCAGAGTGACATCAATCATTCGGCAAACCTCGGCCGATTCCGGGCGGTACCTTTCATCTAATGATGGAGATCTGCCGAGGTGTGCCGAATGTGACATCAATCTCTATAACAAATAAGGATTTCTCCCAGTAGAACTCTTCTGAGCTAAAGGAGATTTTCTTTTACTTCCGGAAATATGCAGCTGGTAATCGTTTTAAAATGTGTTGTGGTTGTGTTGTTGGTGTCGTCCTGCGTGTCGGACGATGTATGTCAGGCGAAAGAGGACCATGGAAGTGAAAGCTGCACCTCAGAGCCGGCGCGGGACCAGGACGATAATAAGTATACACAGAGTGAGTTCATATACCGGTTCAACTTCATGTACGTCGGCAGCCGCGCGCTTGCCATTTGTATTGTTTACAACTGTACAAGGGTGGTAGGTAAATCTTGTACGCCGCTCCTGCTCCCGTAATGTTTGAAATTATTGTAAAATTTTATAAAAAATATAAACGATTGCGTTAATGAGATATTAAAATATCTCTATATGCCTGGTACAGGGTTTTGGGATGGGAGCGGCGTACAAGATTTACCTACCACCGTTTACAAGGGCCGGCCACATTTATACTATAGCTGTGGATTCGGTTATAATGTGGCACAATGTCTATGAAATTTGAATATATCAATTCAAAGAAGCTAGGTTATTGCTGGCCATGAAAAATTATACAAGAGGGTTGCCCTTTAAATTTAAGAAATATATATCAACAGGTCCAGTACACTCTGCCGATTGAGCTACAGTGAGCTGTAAAGACCTATTCTATTTAATAGTCAAGTCAAGTAAATTTTATTTAAAGTCGACATGATTACAAAGATAAACACAAGCTCGTTTAATGAGCTTTTACAATCAACATAGTTCTGTTGACCTATCTGATTGTGTTTTGAGCGATTTTCATATGACTTTCTTAAAGTCGCTTTAAAAAGAAGATTTTATCATTAGATTGATAGCAACAGACATTACATATAAGTATTCTTTTTTAGAAATAATGGAAAAATCGGAAGTTTTACATTTATGAAAAAAAGAAATTAAACATCTAAATGTATGCTTTTTGTAGTCAACATAATTACCATAAACCTTATTGTTTTATGAGACTTTGCTTTAATTTAATGAAAATTGAAATCTGAGAAAATATAGCTCAATACAGCTATAATGTATAGGTGAATATAGCTCTTTATCGCTATATAGCTCAATAGGCAGAGTGTACTGGACCTGATCAATAGAAGAGAAATACACAGTCAGACCAGGATTCGAACCGGGACGCTTCAAACTCCCAGACCCTTTGTACTCCAGGACCCTTCGAAATGGAGACAGACACTCTAACCAATATTGAGCTACCTGGTCGCCTGTTATCGACCCGGTTCAGTTTCGCTACATTCCTCCGTCCTTTTTCTAAGTCTTTGTTCCCCACTCCCCCAAGACAACACTATTTACGACCAAAGTTCGGGTGCCAAGCATTCATCAAGTACTTGAAGCCTTATTGAAGCAAGGGTTCGTCACTAGGCACAACTGTAACAGGAGACGTGTAAAAGAAGCGCATTGATTAGGTTGCCTTACAAGCGCAGCCAGGGGATTTTCTCTTCAGCTGGGTGGTAGAGCATTCGGCTGGAGAGTCAAGGGTCGCAGGTTCAAGCCCCAGCAAGTGAACTATCTTTGTCACTACTCTTGTCCTACTACAGGGTCGGGCATACCATAATGGTGAAATAAAGAGTTTGAAAAGTTCACTAATTTTTTGTATATTTGTATTTTTAAACAGTTCTTCCTAAATTCACATTGACTTGTTGTCCTGTATGTGAAAATAACACAAAAAAAAGCCTGGGGTAGAGAAATTTACAGGGGGAGTTTCACTATTGTGGTAAAATGACTACCTCGTCCACTCACTGCTCCACCCTAAATTTCTCTACCCCAGACTTAAATTTCATATATGATTAAAACAACAAACTAAACTGATGTAAGCTAAAGAAGAATTGGTGAAAAACAGGTTTCCTGAGTGCTTCATTTCACCATGGGAGGTTCATATTACCATTATGGTGAAATGAACTGCGGTTCATAACACCATTATGGTCATTTGACCCCGGTTCTGTAACACCAGGGGCCTGTTCGTTTATGCGGGACAGCCGGTTTGACCGTTTATAAATGTTACAATTTCGGGTATAAATCCTGGCGGACCTGCAAATGTGTATGCAGGCCTAGTAAGGCTTTCTCAAGGCTCGCCTGAAAGCAGCATCAGATTACTAGGTCCGACCTTATTAAATAAACGAACAACAGCGGTCCGATCGGTTTGACCGTTTAAACGAAAACGGACCAGGTATAATATGATGTGATATAAGGAAGATAACTCAAACTGTCAGTCATTGAAAAATAAACACACCACATTTAGTAATACAAAGTCAATCTGTATGAGTAGCTAAATTTTGATTTAGTTTCAAAAAAGAATTTGAAAGAAATTTAGTTGGTCATAGTGTTTTTTTATTTGATTCAAATATTTCTTACATTTACTGTCATTTTTTTATCATCAGATGGTGGGGTATTCAAATCACCCTTGGTCCGTGGCCTGTCAGTCCTTCAACAATTTTTGTTAATGCCATTTCTCAAAAAGTCCTGGAGAGTTCTTTCTCAAATTCCACATGAAAGGTCTCCATGGTCCTTAGTTATGCATATTAAATGTTTGGACTGATTGGAATAACCAAGATGGCCAAAAGTTGGCCATCTTGATTTTTGAGAGTTAAAGTTTGTTAGTGTTATTTCTCAATAAGAACTTGATGGATGTTTCTCAAATTTCATATGAGGGTTCCTCATGGTCCTTATATATGTGTATTGACTTTTGGGACTGACAGGAAAACAAAGATATCCCATAGGTGGCCATCTTGAATTTTGTGAGTTTAAAGGTTGTTAGTGGTATTCCTCAAAAAGTACTGGAGGGATCTTTCTAATGAGGCTTGGCTTCCCCATGGTCCCTAGTTAGCATATTGATTTTGAGGACTGATAGGAATACCATCTGGAATTTTGATTGTTCAGGTTTGTTAGAAATATGTATGTTCCCCTTGGTCCCTTGTTAAAAATATCCCTGGCCCTAATGAGAATTCATTAGTCAATGACACACCTCTAATCATGTAAGAATTACAAAATCAAGCTTTTTGCAAATAGTTATAAATGTAATTCATATGCAATAACAATTGTCATAGTGGCAAATTACATATGACATAACAAGGATTAAGTTGATGTACAAGATTCCCGTTTAGAATTTCCAACATTGGACTGGGTAACAGTACCTGTAAGGAAAGTAAAGTGAAAAGAAGGTAAAAGTAGATCCCCTACAGATCCTTTTAGCTTACTGAGTAGGTAAGTGAAATTAAAAAATGAATTTGAATATTCAAATTTTTCTTCCATTTATGGCTAATGCAGTTGAAAAAAAACACCAAATATTTTTAAGACTCAGCGCACTAATCTGTTAGTGCTAATGACTCAATATATTTCAAATGAATTAGAACTGAATTTTATTTTAGTTAACTTTATTTGTCATTATTTTCAACAGCATCAAATGTGAAATGGCGTGGGTACCTGAAGAAGATTGGAAAGGCTGTGTCAGATTACACAGAGTGTAGCACACACCTCTGTTCATGCCATGAAGAGTAAAGTATAAAATTTGTTCTTGTTCAAGTTTCAGTCAAATTCAGCTGTTGCCATCATGTGTTGTTATTCCTTAGCTTCAACTGAGGTTCCTTTTTTAGTTTATCCAGCTGTCAAGTGTGGTGTCCAAAGATTGATCATATCTTTAAAATATTTTGTGTTTTTCTGCCTTTATTATATGTTTGTAAACATTTTCAAGGTCAAAGGGGTCAACTATGTTGAAATCTTTAAACAACTTCTTCTGAATAACCAGAAGGCCCAGGATGATGATATTTCGCCAATAACATGCTGGGATGAAGCACTACCAAGTTTGTTCAAACGAATGACCTTCGCCCATATTCAAGCTCACAAGGGGATCAAATTGTTTAAATATTTGAACAACTTCTTCTATATAACCAAGAGGTCTAGGGTATTGATATTTGGCCAGTAGCATGCTTGGATAAAGGGCTACAAAATTTGTTCAAGGTCACAAGGGGTCAAATATGTTGAAATCTTTAAACAACTTCTTCTGAATGACCAAAATATATATCACAGGGTCAATTGTCTAAAATACTTTTAAACAACTTCTGAATTACCAAAAAGACCAGGATGATGATATTTGGCCAGAAGCATGCAGGGATGAAGGGCTACCAAGTGTCTTTTAATGAATGACATTCGCCCATATTCAAGGTCACAGGGGTTATTTGTCTTAAATATTTGATATTTAGCCAGAAGGATGTTGAGATAAAGGGCTACCAAGTTTGTTCAAATGAATGACCTTTGCCATATTCAAGGTTTATGAATAACTAAAACGTCCAGGGTGATTGTATGTTCACATGAATGACCTTAACACACTTTCAAGGTCAAATCTGCTCCATAGTGCATACATCTTTAAAAATCATCTTCTCAATAAACAAAAGGTATAGGGTGATGATATTTGACAAGTTCCATTCTGGGATGAAGGGTTATACATACAGTTTGTTCAATTGAATGTCCATGTTTGACTTTCAAGGTCACAGGGGTCAAATGTGTCTAAATCGTTTAACAGGTTCTTCTGAATGACTTTAAGTCAAGACACTGATATTTTGCCTGTACCTTTATTTTGTCCACTTTTGAGGTTACAATGGTGAGATTATGATACCAGGAGAGCGATGCAGGCCCATTGGGCCTCTTGTTTTTATTAAAGCCCATAATCAAAATAACAACGATCTAGAGGTGGGAAAATTGGCTAAAATAAAGGAACATTATTTAAATATAAAACAGAATTTATAACTGAAAACCCAGAAAAAACAAACTTCATCTTTTACCAACAATATTATGAAACAAGATTTGTCACCATATATAAAGGATCTTACATGCGTTTCCATGTCATATTAGATTTATGAAACGAGTCTAAGAATTGTTGATTTTAGCGAGACAGAGGCTCATGCAAGACATATAACTGAAATACTGTCCTTTCATTAGTTTAAACAAACAATTGCATCATTCGTCATTTCAACCTCTGTTTTTTGTTGACATGACTGAAGCACTACTATCAAAACGTAGGTCAGAAATATATCTGTGCTGTAACAAAAATGGGTATGTGTGTTTACAGCATGATCAGTAATGACCTGCTGTTTGTGTGTTTACAGTGTGATCAGTAATGACCTGCAGGTATGTGTGTTTACAGTGTGATCAGTAATGACGTGCAGGTATTTGTGTATACAGTGGATCAGTAATGACCTGCAGGTATTTGTGTATACAGTGTGATCAGTAATGGCCTGCGGGTATTTGTGTTTACAGTGTGATCAGTAATGACCTGCGGGTATTTGTGTTTACAGTGTGATCAGTAATGACCTGCGGGTATTTGTGTTTACAGTGCGATCAGTAATGACCTGTGGGTATTTGTGTTTACAGTGTGATCAGTAATGACCTGCGGGTATGTGTGTTTACAGTGTGATCAGTAATGACCTGCAGGTATTTGTGTTTACAGTGTGATCAGTAATGGCCTGCGGGTATGTGTGTTTACAGTGTGATCAGTAATGACCTGCGGGTATGTGTGTTAACAGTGTAATCAGTAATGACCTGCGGGTATTTGTGTTTACAGTGTAATCAGTAATGACCTGCGGGTATTTGTGGTTACAGTGGATCAGTAATGACCAGCCGGTATTTGTGTTTACAGTGTGATCAGTAATGACCTGCGGGTATTTGTGTTTACAATGTAATCAGTAGTGACCTGTGGGTATTTGTGTTTACAGTGTAATCAGTAATGACCTGCGGGCATTTGTGTTTACAGTGTAATCAGTAATGGCCTGCGGGTATTTGTGGTTACAGTGGATAAGTAATGACCAGCCGGTATTTGTGTTTACAGAGTGATCAGTAATGACCTGCGGGTATTTGTTTTTACAGTGTGATCAGTAATGACCAGCCGGTCTTTGTGTTTACAGTGTGATCAGTAATGACCTGCGGGTACTTGTGTTTACAGTGTAATCAGTAATGACCTGCGGGTATTTGTGTTTACAATGTAATCAGTAATGACCTGTGGGTATTTGTGTTTACAGTGTAATAAGTAATGACCTGTGGGTATTTGTGTTTACAGTGTAATCAGTAATGACCTGCGGATATGGGAAGACAAGGCTGGTGGTATTACCAAGGACATGATAACCAAAAACAACGACAGAGGGGTACATTACCAGATCATAAACCACAAACTGTACCGCGAGGACAAGTGTATGTTTCCAAACAGGTAAAACTTCCCCTCTACCAAGGTTACTGTATTTGCCATGTTGAGCACCCCAGGCACTTATAAAATCTCAATATATCTTCAAATCAAAATAATCAGATAATATTCCTCCTAGAGCTCAGACAAGCCATGGAACGGTGTTAAATGGAATTTGTTATAGTAATTATAATAGTATGACCTGGCTAGATTGTGGAATCCTTACATAAGTTCTGTGTCCAGGTTATCTCATTTCAGAGATATGGCTCCTTAAAACAGAATTTGATATACCCATCATCTATAGACACTGTCTTCATATGATCTTATTATTAGTTGTTGCAAAGAATGCAAAACTACTAACAAACACTTTGACAATGAGACATTGGATTTGAGGCCTGTTTTATCATCATGGTTTTAGCTCATGGAATCAAGCTGAGGAAGGGTACAGAATGTGTAGTTCTGTCAAGTGTTTGTTAATAAATCTCAGACAATTTTTTCCTCTTTGACAGGTGCTCTGGTGTGGAACATTTTATACTCCTTATTATTAAAAAATTGCCAGACATGGAAATGTTGATAAACGTGCGAGATTGGCCCCAGTCATCGAAACATGGTTCACCTATACCGGTCTTCTCTTTTAGCAAAGTGGTGAGTGCGGTGATGGCTGAATATGATGAATGTGTAAAAAGATGGAAATTAATGACTTTAATGTAGAAATTGCAAAAGTTATTTGTTTTGTGTTGTAGATTCAGACATAATTTGGCATATACTGTAATAAATGGCTCAAATGTCTTCACCATACAACTCATATAAAAAAAATGATACAGACATTTTTGTATAAATTAAAGTGAATGTCAAAGAACATGTAAAATAAGGTTTAATAAATGTGACACAGGCTATGTGTGAATTGTCTCCCTTGATGATTTGTATGCCATACACTTATAGACCAGTACTTGAACTTGAGTAAGTGGTATCCTATGTTTATATGATCTGGCAAATGTGCTTGCTTCATAATTGATTGTTAAAATAAAACATTATTTAATCTTTTATTAATTAAATAACTTTTGAATAAAAAAAAACTATATATGTAGAAGATGACATGTACAATGTATATGTTATCTCGTTAGAAATTGGAATCTAAAAAAGTAAGAGACAAGAAAATGTCTTGGTCTTAGACATGGAATATTGCTATCTACGCAGGTAAAATTGGAACCTGATTTGTCTGATTGCAGAAATGGTTATAACTATTTTCATACTGAATAGTTTTTTTCTTTCTGCAGTTTTTATTATGACATTTGTACCTCCCTTAGATGAACCAGCACTGGGACATTATGTACCCTGCCTGGACTTTCTGGGAGGGAGGACCAGCTGTTTGGCCAATTTACCCTACAGGGTTGGGACGTTGGGACGAACAAAGAGAAATCATACCCAGGTTAGCATGGAGAGTCAACCTAATGATTTAATCTGTTGACACTCAATTAGATTGGTGTAACAGCAGTGCACCGTCTTGCGTTTGAAGTTGACCCAGGTTCTCTGTATAATGTTCCAATACCCTTGCTTTCTCCAGCATCATTGTAATTTGACAGACTTAGGAGAAGGTTTTCCTAGGAAGGTAATTGGGTTGGTGGTGGTGGTGGTGGGGGATATCACAGTGATGAACCATCCATCTACATAGTCACTTTATACTATCATTTCCCTAAGCGAATTATATATATAAACCAGTAGAGCACTGGACTAGTAAACTACAGTACTAGCTTATCCGAGCAAACTGTTATCCAAGAGAGAACACATTAAATGAAGAATTCTTGTCAAAAACATGAAATACCTACCAATATTGATAAGTTTATGGAAACATTTTTTTACTGAAAAAGAGCAAAAACACATTTCTCTCAAAAGTTGAATAGTTGTAGGCATGCATTAAAAAATTAATATAAATCATGCTGTTNCCCCCCCTAGTTTTCAAGAAATGCTCTTTGTAACCATGTACAGAGGAATACAGAATCTTGAAAATGTATCAAATACAACCCCAAGTCTAGAATTCAGCGGGAACACTGCCTTTTGCTTGTAGGGCAGCTCAACAGTGGCCATGGAAAAACAAACTGGACAAAGGCTATTTCAGGGGCTCTCGCACCAGTTCGGACCGGGATCCACTTATATTGATGTCTCGGAAACATCCAGACTTGGTAGATGCTCAATATACAAAGAACCAGTCATGGCGCTCCAAGGCAGTGAGTCATTACAACAAGCTTTGTTTCTATTAAGTCTATCATTATACTCTGAATGACTAATCATTTCTTGATTTTGAAACATTTCTGCAGATCTGACAGTGCATTCGTAACTCTAGAGCTAAATAAATCTTTTGGGGTCATAAAATCATGTCAAATAATACAAGATGTCCTTAAAGTCAAGTGGCTGTAAAATCGAGTTTCACTGAATAATACTGAAATTTATATATCGGGCATTTTGTATTATAAGGTCCTCAAGTTCAGATAGTTTGTCTCTCGCTTTCCACTAGGACACCTTAGGAGAGGAGCCAGTCGCAGAAGTCCGGCTTGAAGATCACTGTCAATACAAGTAAGTCAGATATAATCTATTGATTTACAGTCTTTTATTAACAATAATCAAAAAAACAAAATTGCAGAAAAAAATTCTCAGGAAAACTACTTGCTGTATAATTTTAAGCTGAACTGCTTGAAAGGCAAGGGAGTTTATGCCGCAGCGTGGCATTCTTTGTCCGCCCAGATCCCTCTAACTTTTTCGTTTAAAAAAACATGCTATTAGTCCTGAACGGCTCATTGGATTTTCACCTAATTTGGCCTAGAGCATTCTTGGGCAAAGGGGCCTCAATTTTATATAAATAGAGCGTGTGGCTCTAATTGGGAAAAAGGGGTTGGGGCCCAATAGGGGAAATTTAGGCAAATCTTTAAAATCCTCTCCTTCATTAAGATTGGAGGGATTTGAAACAAATATTGTGTAGAGCATCCTTGGGCAAGTGAAATTTAATTTTGTACACATTTAGGGCATGGCTTCCCTAAGGGCAGAGGAGTGGGGACCAATAGGGAGAGCACAGGATAATGTTTAAAATCCTCCTTTTTCTGTATAAAATGATGGATTTGAATCAAATTTTCTATATAAATGGTATAAATGGGGCCAATAGGGAATGTAAAGATATTGTAATGTTTAAAATCCTTCTTCTTCTGTACAAATTGAAGGCTTTTATCAAAATTTGGAGTGCATAAATAGTGGATGTATCTCCCTGAGAGCAGAGGGGTGGGGCCTTATAAGGGAAATTGAGGTAAATGTTAAATATTTGCATCCATTCCCACTTCATTGGGGCAGCAAGAAGGGACCCAATGAGGGACAGGTGTTGCTTAGAGTCAGAGTCATTATTTGGAAATAGTTGCAGTGTTATATTTAATGAGAATATTTTCCCATTGTTGCTTATTATTCAGGTGAACAATACAGGCCTTCTGGGCCTCTTTGTGTATTATTGATAAAAAAATATTTTGAATGCGATGTTATGTTCTTAGAATATGTTAACAGATTGTAATCTTTCCTGTCTTTTCTTACACAGATACCTGTTCAACTTCCGAGGAGTTGCAGCCAGTTTTCGATTGAAGCACCTATTCCTTTGTGATTCTGTTGTATTTCATGTCGGAGAAGAATGGTTGGAATTTTTCTATCCTGCCTTAAAACCATGGGTCCACTATATACCAGTCAGACAGGATCTGACAGATGTCCAGTAAGTCTTTTCTACCACATACTAAAACCCTGGTCCACTATATATCAATAAGACAGGATCTGGCTGATGTCCTGTAAGTCTTTTCTTCCCCATCCTAAACCTCTGGTCCACTATATACCAATAAGACAGGATCTTGATGTTATCTAGTAAGTCTTTTCTTCCCCATCCTAAAGCCTATGGCCCACTGTATACTAGCTAGTTTCAATAATCTCTATGGAGAGACTCTGAAAGTTAAGCTCAGTTACAGCCAAATTTTATTTTTAATTTAATTCATTATCTTTATAAAATTGTTTTTTATTTGAAACTTCCTAATTTCACAAAAGCTGCTGTCAAGAGTACTGATAAATCCTGATGTTCTTTGTTCTGCCACAGAGAACTTTTGGAGTTTGCCAAACAGAATGACGATGTAGTACAAGAAATAGCTGAGAGGTATGTCAGACTTTGGTGACACTAGTTTTGTGACATGTACTTGTAGATATATTCAGTAGAACCAAGTTAAACTTAAAACCCATCCCAACTCAAACTGATCATTTGGTTATATAACAGACTAATCCTTACTCTTTTTATGTTCAAATTGCAAAACCAATATGATAATGCAAAAGGATTTTCCTTGATCCAATGATTATGCGTTAAATAGGGTGACTGCTTAACAGCATGAATTAAAATAATTATTAGATACTTCTACTGATTTTTAGGAAATTCAAAGAACATTTTAACACAAAGTTTAAAGTTCTGTTTAATATAGACTTGAGTGATACTTTAATAGTATTAATGATACTGCACACGATCTCGATGAGAATATTGAGTGCAAACTAATTAGTTTGAGTCAAAGTAAGATTATTGCAATATTTTTGAAATGTTTCATGCTATATTAAGTGTTTTATATGATACTATAAATATTTCAATAGTACTTCGGAGATGCAAATTTAAATATAATTACAAAAATAATTGCAAAATTGACATAAAAACCTAATACTACAGAGAATTGGAAAGTATGAAAAATTTGAATGCTTTACTTTCTCAGATTAAACTGTGTTCATTTATGAATATAAATGTATATAAAAATTGTAACAAATAGTTATTATAATTAAGTCATCCATGCAATATGTCTCTTTTTGCAGTTACCCACTGAACATTTCTTTGTAAGTTATTTCATGATTAAAGAGAACAGAAATTTATGTGTAAAGTTTTTTCATTTTTACAGAGGACGAAACTTTATATGGGATCATCTAAAAATGGAGGATATTTCATGTTATTGGGAAAAACTTCTTAAAAGATATACCCAGCTGCTAAAATATACTCCCAAAAGGAACAAAGATTACAAGCAGATAAAGCCTAAGGCATCTTAGCACAGGAGTCTGGTGTCAGCGACAGGGGTCCAGTCAGCAGCCGCAACAGTGAAATACTTCATTCAGTTTTATAAAATTGACCGTTGATTGAAGATTATAAGACATGCCTAAGGGTGTAGGATAAGATTATAAGACATGCCTAAGGGTGTGGGATGGGGATATTATAGGCTTGCTAATCCTACACCCCTGGGCAAGAAACAGTATTTTTTATCTCATGTTCCTGTGTGTAAGATAGAGCTGTCCAGAGTAAGAAAGGGGTGTAGGAAATTTCTATATATCTTACAGCCCATTTCACCTGATGTGACAATGGCTCAAATATGATGTGACGTCACAAATTTGGAAATCTCCAATGCCGCAATAGGCGACATGACGAAATTAAAACCTTTTACAATATATTTACTGTATATGTTAGAAAGATGTGATTGATTTTTCTGAACAAACTCTGTTTGCAAATATGGGGTATGCCAAATCTGGCTGACAGATTCGTTTTCGTCTAATAAGCTGAGGGGAGAAATTTATATTTTCAAAATGGTAGCCATTCCAAATGTATTTTCATTGTTTCTGAGCTTATTCTGGTGGTTGGAATGAGAGAAAAATACTCTTTCATGCCCAAGGGTACCGGTGTAGGATAGCGTAGTTCCACCCTTGCGTCTTACCAAATTTGAAAACCCCTCGGGTGGAATTTCCCTATCCTACATCCCTGGGCATGAATGAGTCTTGTACTCTCATTCTAGTTACCAGAGTTAGCTCAGAAGCCACAAAAAGGTGTTGCAATTTTCACATTGCGGCATTGGAAAGTCCCTGATCAGTGACATTGTCATGTCATGTCATTGTTCTCCCATTGTGACGTGACACACATAATATTGAGTGTAAGATAGAACGTTCTTACATCCTTTTCTTGTTTTGGAAAGCTCTGCACAGGGATAAGAGCATTATACAGTAAAACATGTTTAGTGCAAACAAGCTTATTGTGATTTCATACAAGGTACGGCAAACTGATTCTGTTTTCGAAGCGCATCTCCCTCTTACTTGTATGTAATTATATGCAAATTTCACGTGGCGAGTTATTCTCTATTACAAATTAGCCGTCCCCTCAGGCGAAATTCAGTGTTATCTTAACACCATAGTAAAAAGTTATTTTTCCGAAGTTGGAAGTCACGCAACAGTGCTCTAGACCATTGTCAGTGAGAGGCGCCTTGTTTTGTTTTACTTGTTTCTATATGTTTTATATGACTACAGAACACAGTGAGTTGTGTTTCGATGACTATATAGTTGTTGGGTTGTTTATCCAACATAAATATGACCCTTTGAAAAAGTTTGTCTAGGGCATATTTTTTATACTATTTCACCTGGTACAATAAGATTTTGTTTGCAAGAACATCTTTGGGTGGTGGATTGTCAAGAAAAAAAAAGGTAGGTCACTGCAACCTATGCTTTGACCTTTAACCTTATCCTTTGAAAAATTAAGTCCATGCATAGTTTTGTTCTTTTTACTACTTCACCTGGAGTGACCAGATTTGCTATGCAAATATGTTCTTGAGATGGCGAAGTGCAAAGTACAAGAAGTATGTAAAAGTGCCCTATACTTCGACCTTTGACCTCAACCCTTTGAAACAGATTGTCTGGGGCATCTCTTCTATGCTATTTCACCTGGAGTAACCAGATTTGGTATGTAAGTGCATCTTGGGATGATGGAATGTCAAATACAAACAGTAGGTCACTGTAACCTGTGCTTTGCTTTTGACTTCAACCTTTGAAAAAGTTTGTTTGGGGCATATCTTATACTTATTCACCTGGACTAACCAGATTTGGCATGCAAGTACATGTATGTTTTGGCTGAGGGAGTACAGAAAGTATATAAAAGCAGTGACCTATATCCGACAATAGGCGTGCAGCTCAGTAAATAATGAGCAATAGTTTGCCTTGTTTAGCCTTTGGCTATTTTTTTTCTTTTTTTCTTTTCCCTTTCACAAGAAATCAAAATGATCCATATCATTATTTTAGAGAATATACATATGTAGGCCCACATCCTATTTTTTCTAAGTAAGGAGTAATGTTATGAATACAATCTTTTATAAAATGTTTTGCAATTGTAAATGTTTGGTTGTGACATGTAAGAGTGAATTATGATGTCATCATCAGGACAATGGACATACATGTAAGGTCTGAGTGTTTGAAATGGGTCACTCGATCATTTATTGATGTTTTAATATTTCATAACTTAATTTTTGTGTGAAATCAAAACTCATTTAATATACTTATTTAATATTCCATTGCAGACAAGATTGTTCAGAAATCAATGGTTTAGAATTTTTTGTGGTGACCCTCTAATATATTATTTGATACAGATTTTGTAGGAATTCCATAAATGCTTTATTGTAAGATTTCGAAGTTTATTGAAGTCATTAAAAGCAAATCGTCTTCTGGTTTAATCCCAGTTTTGACTTAAGTTTGATAATAACTAAAGGTATGTTTTGTACTGGAACTGACCAAGAGTTCATACTGGTACAAGTAGATGTGTCAATATTAAGTCTCTGACTAACGGTAAGATGTCAACACTTAGTCAATAACCATGGAGAGGTATACTGTATTAATGCAATTCTGATCAATGTTATCTAGATGTTCAATAGCTGTATTTACATTTTGGTACTGGTTGTGACATCTTTTAGCAGCTAGCATAATAACAACAGGATAGCTATGCAAATAATCTTAATTTCTGGAATATACTGGATGAACGTTTCAATGACCAAACTTTTTTCTTCATTTTTTTTTTTTCATGTATCATATTATTTAATTTACAGCTATTTATACAGAAGCAGTTTTGGAAAAGGCAAATAATTTCTTCATGTTTCCAATACGAAATATGAGACGGATGAGTAATTTGCTACGGATTGATGTCAGACTTCATACCTGTTGGAAGGTTAATTACCACGAAAGTTTAGATGGGTTGGATATTCACCATTGTCCAATAGAAATTAACGGAGTTATGTCCCTTTATTCAATTTCTGTAACAGTGTCCGTTCGATATCTCTAGTTAGCCCACCATCATCTGATGGTGGGCTGTTCAAATCACCCTGTGTCCGTGGTCCGTCCTTAAACAATTATTGTGATCGCTATTTCTCAGGAAGTACCAAAGGGATCTTTCTCAAATTTCATACGTAGATTCCCCTTGGTCCCTTGTTGTGCATATTTACTTTTGAGACTGATCAGATAAACTAAATGGCCGACAGGCAGCCATCTAGGATTTTGACAGTGAAGGTTTGTTATCGCTATTTCTCAATAGGTACTGGAGAGATCAATCTCAAATTTCACATGTAGGTTCCCCTTGGTCTGTAGCTGTGCATGTTTTCTTATGAGACTAATCAGATAAACAAAATAGCTGAAGGAAGACCTTAACAGATCTTTCTCATATTGCAATGATCGGTTCTATTTCTTTCACATTAAGTACTGTACTAGTAAATCAGTGAAATTACAAACTCACCTTGAAGGTTGTCTTTTATACATAGCAGTTTTAAGTTTAGATCAAAAGCTACCTCAAGTTTCCTTTACTGTTAACATGAGGCGATCAAACAGATAAGAGAAAAGATCAAACTGACAAAGAACTAATGAAGATGGTACAATAGTGGGCGACAAGATCCCTCTGGAATCTCTTGTTATTTTCATATAACTAACTTAAAACTTCATAGGAAGATTAACTCTTTCACCACTGTAGAACATAATGGACTCATCCAGATCAATGCATGGTAGAGTGTACATTAAGTTGCCTAGTGGTAAAAGGGTTAATTACCATGAGAGCTTGGATGTTTTTTCGATAACCACCATCATCAGACTGTAATTTGCACAGTTAGTCTCATTAATTTTGTTGCTGAAACAGTGTCTGCTCTATACGGTTACCAGGAGTAATTTTCAAAGGATTCACTTTAAACTTCCTAGGAAGAGAGCTCAGATCAGTTGGATACCCACCATTATCCAAATGTTATTTTTCAAAGTTACGTGAGTGTAATCACAATGATTTGACCATAATTAAAAGACTTATTCCCCTTGCTTTCATTAATGCAATACTACCTGCATTCCAAGATGTGTTATAGCACTCATTGATTTACGTGAATTATTGAATTATTTCTCCTTTAACATCAATTACTAAAAAACAATTCATATAGTTCGACTTGTGACTGGCGTATAATGTACCACTGGAGCCTTGTTACACCATCAAATTCTGTTATCTTTTAAGTTACTGATGAAAATGACGGTCAGTATGGTCTAGGTTACAATTTGTACATAAATTACTCAACTTTTGTTCATCTTATATCACAATGTGTTCTATATTATGTTGTCATATTCAATGTGTGGCATCTGTTAAAGTTTATCATAAAATGGTTGTTAAAATTGTCAGGGTGTTTGTCAATGGTTGTCCAATTCATAAATAAAATTTATATATTTTTAATCAGAAACCACTGTTTGCTAATCTTTATTGAAATTTAACTATAAAAATGTTACTGACAATTATGTACCCGCTATTGTTACTGACTGTGATGTATCAACCAGTGTTACTGACAGTGATGTATCCACCAGTGTTACTGACAGTGATGTATCCAGCAGTGTTACTGCCAGTGATGTATCCACCAGTGTTACTGACTGTGATGTATCCACCAGTGTAACTGACTGTGATGTATCAACCAGTGTTACTGACTGTGATGTATCCACCAGTGTTACTGACAGTGATGTATCCACCAGTGTTACTGACTGTGATGTATCAACCAGTGTTACTGACAGTGATGTATCCACCAGTGTTACTGACAGTGTTGTATCCACCTGTGTTATTGACTGTGATGTATCCACTTGTTTTACTGACAGTGTTGTATACACCAGTGTTATTGACTGTGATGTATCCACCAGTGTTATTGACTGTGATGTATCCACCAGTGTTACTGACAGTGATGTACCCAGTTGTGTTACTGACAGTGTTGTATCCAGCAGTGTTACTGACAGTGTTGTATCCAGCAGTGTTACTGACAGTGATGTATCCAGCAGTGTTACTGACTGTGATGTATCCACCAGTGTTACTGACAGTGTTGTATCCACCTGTGTTATTGACTGTGATGTATCCACTTGTTTTACTGACAGTGTTGTATACACCAGTGTTATTGCCTGTGATGTATCCACCAGTGTTACTGACAGTGATGTCTCCACCAGTGTTACTGACAGTGATGTATCCACTTGTGTTACTGACAGTGATGTGTCCATGTGTGTTACTGACAGTGATGTATCCAGTTGTGTTGCTGACGGTGATGTTTCCACTATCCACCAGTGTTACTGACAGTGATGTATCCAGAAGTGTTACTGACTGTGATGTGTCCACCAGTGTTACTGACTGTGATGTGTCCACCAGTGTTACTGACAGTGATGTATCCACCAGTACAGTGTTACAGACTGTGATGTATCAACCAG